ATATATATATATACGTGTGTGTGTGTGTGTGCGCGACAATATATATATATATTTCTCTCTCTCTCACAAATTGTTATTTATTTATTTATAGAGGATTACAAATCATAGTAGTGATAAGTTAATCTTGAGAGTCTACATTTAATCTTAACTGGAAGCATATAAATCATTCAGTTTTCTGCCTATATTTTGGCTAGACTTCGTTACATATCATTCGATGATATTTTACGGAGGGCTCTTAAATAACTAATATATTTCGTATTGCAAATAAATATGCATGTTTCGTTTACGCAGTCTATATAAAACTAATCATCAAGTTATTAATTTTCCTATCGATAGAGTTATTGGGCTGAATCGGCAAATCGATTTCTAACAATGTCAGTTCTCGTTATACCGTCTTTGTACTGAATATCCGTCAGCTAAAATAATCAAAGATACATAAATAACGGTATTCCTATGTGAGAATTATATTATCGTGCAGAGATTACATTTATGTTGCAAAAATCATACACACATATATAATTACCATTGAATTCTTGGCTAACGCATCAGAATTGAGCGTGGAATATAAGAAATTTTTGTCTCTACGTTATAATAATAATTAAAACACAATAATAATAAAGAAGCCTAATTTCTCCCTATAGCAAAATAATCAGCACCAAAGTTTCCTTGAGAGCACGTCAATCAAGTTATGAGAATCTATCTACAAAGTTCTCTCATTTGGACGCACTCTCGATCTTTCTGGCTTGTAACAAATGCCTCGACTTCGAAACAAGATTTGTTATGTGAAATTCCGGTGGAAGCAACAATACGCGTACACAATTGTACGAGGCAGTGAGTAGCGATTTTCACATATTTTCTGGCATGCTTTAATTTTTAATTTAAAGCGAATCTTAGGTAACAGTTTATATAGCAGTTTTGGTATTTATCAAAATCTGACAGTGGGTAACTTAGGACGTAATTGGTATCTCTTTTTTATGTATAGTAAATTTCAGTACACGCACCATCGAGTGTACGTAATATACATATTCAAATAGCGTCTTGACAACTCTGTAGGCACATTCCCGATTTAACATTGAAAATACATGTCTTTTCGAATACATACATGAGAACCGACTGAAATTTTCATTGTCTCTCTCTGAATTCATATTTCCCTCATAGTATAATACAGCTGTAGGGTAACATGGTTTCATAATGTATATTATACACGCTTACTTATGTAGACATAGTCGAAATGCAACTTATCTACGAGACAATGTTTTCAAGCGGAGAAAAAATATTTGAAACGAAGAAAGAGATGTCAGGCGATGTTACATCTCGACTATGGTGTTCGTTATAAATAATTAAAAGATATATTTGCCGGCTAGAGCATGGCCTATTGAACACTTGGGTACTTCGGAGCTTTCATGAACAACTTTTACAGTCACTCTTGCTTATGTCTATTTTTTCTACTGTTCTGTAATTAAAATCATTATCTATATACATTTTATATATGTATACATTAATGTACGTAACACAAGAACAAGTACAAAATACTCATTCGGATGGAAAGTCAATGTTTCGCAGTAACATTGTTACCATGGTATCTTGCTCTCATCTTGTACCAGTCTGACTTTTCAGAGATCTAATATCAATATTTTACATTGAGAACAACTTGTCATGGAGCTAGGAATTTAAATCTTCATCTGTGTATACAATATTTTTTGTCTTCGCTTTCAAATCACAGAATGATAATGATTTATTTTACTCCAAGACATTTATATAAATTAAATTTTTAAATTATATTATT